TTATTTGGGGCAAGCCATTTTAATTGAACTTCTTTGGACCCATCAACAGTAGCAAATATATCAACTGCTCCCTCGGGGGAAGCTTCCATGGTCCGAGCTTCCACCTGTAAGTTCAACCATGAGACTGAGGTTCGTTGCCGTAGCTTACAAACAGAGAAGGAACGAAAAATCCAACTTTTTAAGAAAAACTATTTCTTTAGAAGAAAAACAAACTAACACTGCAGGTGTCTTAATTTTTAAGCATATTACTTTCCTCACATGTACATTTGTTTGAAGCTGTCCAGCAACTAAGATAATTTATATGGAGACTCCTGTAAGGAACAGGAGATAAACATTGTTACAACGATGAAAGATTCATTCCTCGAAAACACCATTGCACCTCACATGGATGAATGAGCTTAGTGTTAGGGGAGGAAGCAACATAGAAGACGACCAATTTTCAAGTTTCTGCCTTCTAAAAGCAACTGTAAGGAACATGCATGTAAGTAAAATGCTGTAGTAAATAAGTATAGCTATTTGATAGAAAAAAAAATGTCATTTGTGAAATATTGGTTGCTACCTGAATTAACTTCTGATTTCACCCAACAAATTTAAGTTGCAACAAAAAGTAGATTCATAAAAAACCTCCCGATATATGATAAATGAGCTAGAAAATGTAATGAATCTGAAAGGTCTTTTTTAAATAAATAAATTTTCAGTCAATATTTTAGAAATTTCACATTTAAATTTCACAATTTGCAGTAAACATTCAGTGCTACAGAACAAAATAGTTTGCTATTGTGTTATTTATGGCAACAAGTTTGTTTCTCATACATTATTTATTTGATGTTTTCTAAGGTATAAGATGATTTCACATCCTTCTAAGAGCCTCTCAGCTGAAAGTTCATGGGAGTGATAACAAATGTTATTTTGAATTTGCCACACCTGCTCCATCACCAGAGTAACAAAACATACTTTGTCTGTCCTTGAAAAATTAATGTTCTACTTTTTAGCACGTAAAATTTGGAAAGCTTATTGTTTATAAATGCCAGGCTATATCTTTGATGTGCATCAATGTCTGTGCATGTGCTTCTATATTCATACACTCTATTACATTTAAAATAGGTGAGCAGTTACAGTAGAGTCAACAGGACAAAATACATACTTAAAGATAAACAAACACTTCACGGGTTTATTGGATCAGTGTCACATTGATTATTTGGATATTTCTGTCAGAAACATTCTTATGGAAGAATTTGACTAAACCGTGCTTTCTAAACTAAAACATTTTCCTGTAAAATCTCTCATCTCACCACATCAGAAACATGGAGGAATGAATACCTACTATTCTTTCTACTAAAGAAGATAAAAATATTCCTAAACCAGTTTGAATTTGTAGCTATCTCCACCACATCCTGATCAGCTGCAACAGCTGCTACAGCCTTTTTCTTTATGCCCTGCTCTTCTTTTCAGTGTAAAAAATACTGAAACACTGTTTAGAATCAGTACATGGAGTATCCTCTACAGCTACACCTCTACATTTTATTTTCAAAATAATATTTTGTGTTAAAGACATACATTCTGTATATAAACATATGGCACAGAAAACTAGTTTCATATTTCTTTTTCTAAACATTATATGCAATTCTGTGATATTTTCAGATGTGTTTATTAATAAATTTAATTAAAAATACTCTGCTACCATGTAAGTAATACTAAATCATAGGATAGGAATAATGAGAAAATACTGACATCCATCTAAGTGTTTTAAATAATGCTAGCATGCATATAAGCTAAAAATCTGAAATTTAGGTTTAATAGCAGTGGGTTGAGATGACAAATATGCAGTGCTGATCATTTCTCTTTATTTATAAGATATTTACAAGAGCTAATATATTATAAAATGAGCAGAATTTCAGATCTCTTGAAGTCTCATGAAGAATATATCAGAGATTACACTATACCTTGATAATTATTTTTATTCTTTTTTAAGCAACAAAACCCAATTAGAACAGATGCAAAAGCAATATCTCATCTTTATTAGAAAACGACAGAAATCTAGCATCTACATGTTACCAGTTTGCACCTCACTTGTAAATAAATAATGGTCACTGAAAAAAAAAAAGTTAAACAAAAACTGTCTAACACAAATAAAAGAAGTTATTGAAACACAGTAACTGCTAATGCTCTTGTAACCAAGATCTTCAGAGCCACTTTCAGAGATATAAGCTGGAGAAATCCCATATTTAGGATAGTTGCATAGGATTCATTCATCGATTAAGGCACATTAAGCCCAAGATGAGCAACAAAAATAGCTAGAAGCATATCAGTTTACTCCTGGGAGATCTTTCTCATACTATTTAAAGCAGAGAGAAAACATTTAGGTTTTCTCTAACTGTTGGATTTATTCTGTAATTGATATAAAAATCTTTCAAAAAATCAAACGAAGATGCAGTGCTTTAACTTCCTGGCAGCACTTAGGTGTGCCTAAATAAAGATGTTGTACTTCAATTCCTGTGATTAGAGATGGATCGCTGGCTCTGGAGAGCAGTTTGCATTCTGATCATGGGATGCAGATGAGTATCAGCTACAGCGACCTCTACTTTGAATTGTTACAAGTCAAGTTACAAGCCTGCAGTTCAATGGAGACGTGAAAAACAGCTGCTAAATTATTATTATGTTTTTAAACCCTACCTCCTGCCATTCTGTTCTGTCCTTTTGATGCCTATTTGAGAGGAAAGAAGTACTGAAAACATATATATTTCATCTATATGCAAAGTCTGGTAACAACTGGTCTTAAGCATCACTACTAACACAATGGATTAAGTTATTGCACATCAAATACCTTAAAACAAGGTTTGCTTTTGGGGTATATGTGAAGTTGTAAAAACTGTGCAAGAAAAACTGGCAAAAGCTATTCAAGCTTTTAAGAGTAAATATCCCTCAAAGCAGAGCAAGCTATAAAATGTTTAATGGTTATAAAATCTAGTCGTCTTCTACAGAAGTCTAGTTGTCTTCTACAGATAAATGATGCTACAAGCATTTGAAAGAAAGTAATCTTGGAAAGAATATTGGGAATGTGACTAATGAATTCTATCATAAGTGTAAAACCTGGAAGTTCTTTCCAGAGCACAATATAGTGATATTATAAGTTATGATGGAAAAATAAACAGGACAGTGTGAAAAACTCCCAAATTTTCCTTTTTGTCTCCCTTTTAATGTTAAAAGTGCATGCATAAAGCTAAATTAAACAAAAATAAATCTCAGAATTAACACAGATTTCTTTCTCAGTTATGCTTGAAAACAAATCCAAGCATCCTGGGTATTACTCCAGTTATTCATCAGCTACGGTACTATGAAATCGTACTGGATTTATCAGTTCAGCTATGCATTTAAAAACCTTTAATAAAATAAAAAGGCCTCAGAAGGCTTGTTTTTCACATGTCAAATTTAATATTCCTGTATTCTCCACTCCTGAAAAAATGAGGTGTTGTACAAGACTGTTAAAATATGTTCAGTATAATATTTCACATACTTTCATTCAGAAGATATTTACGAATCATCACATTTTACTTGCTCCTGTTGCCACTCCTGGCTTCTGCATTTCTCAGATTAACTTCAGTCCTTTCAGTCAGGCAGCTAGCAATTTGCTCATTACTGGAACAGTAGCTCTTTCTTTATATACATCCTTATAAATTTGACTAAAGCACATCTGCACCTTTCAAATATATTAACTCTATTTAATTTCAATATGGTGTGTTTCAGTTTCAAATTTTGCCTTTCTTCACTGTACCTACACTCTCCTTTGGAACGGTGCCTAACAATGACCTATCAAGTCTTTAGCAGCTCTTAAACAGGACGGTTTTTTTAAATGTCACATTTTGCCAGATGGGTTAGTACTGACCAGAGTGAATAATCACCATTTACTCTGATATTCACTGTCATCTGACATTTATTACTCTCCCAGAATGCAAATTAAGGTACTCACCAATGGACCCAAAGCACAACCTTTTGCAGTACACGCCTGGACTCTGAGGGAATGCAGACTCCAAGGAGCAAGTCCAGAAGCATAACAACTTAGCTGAGATGAATTTTGCAGCAGAACACCATCCATATACAATCCATAGCTAGTAATAATACCTATAAAACAAGGTGATAGCACTCAATATCTGAAGAGCTACAGAGTTTGGAAGAAAATTAGTGTTACAGGCATTAAGGTGGTGGTAGTAGTATTTCAAACAGTTTACATTTAAGCAGGTGTTTATCAGGACTGTGTATGCAACACTTGGAAGAATCACACTGTCTCATTTTTAACTGGCAGAAACTTGACAAGCGGATTGTGTCTTTTGAAAACAATTACACTGTTCCAAAGATTATCCCTTAATAAACTTGTTTCTGAATAGCAGCTAACATCACTGTGCAATCAAGAAAACTGAGGCAATTCTGTTTCACAGCTTACTCTGCATATGGCTATTGAAACAAGAGCTGGAAAGACACACAAAACCATCTCGTACCTCAACAAATTTATATTTCAAAAAAGAACAGTGATCTACAATACAGTTGAAGCACTGAAGGACAACTCAGGCCAGTGCTATAATTGGTAGCAAATAATTTTGTCACACAAAACATCTTATTGACACTCATTCTTGTAGATCGTTATCTGCATTTTGCCAACTAGATTTGTTTTTTGTGAAGTTTTACCCACTTGTCTAAACAAAACTCCAAAATAGTATATAGTATATACTTCTCTGTATGCTGTAAAAAACCACCGTAAAGTAAACTACTCCTTACCTAACCAGTCTGAATAAAGAAAACATATTCGCAAACTCAAAATAAACACTACCAAGGATTTTGGGTAGAGGAGAGAATGGTACTTCTGGTGTAATTGGCTAATACTAACTAAAAAATTGCAGGTGATTTGCTAGCTCCTTTATAAGGAAATATGAATCTCTGTTCTTCAAAGGTGTATGACAGGATAGCATGAATCCTGTGCAGACTACACATACACAGTGTTTGGAATTTAATGAACTAAAGACTGAATTTTACAGATTTACTTAGACCTTGGAAGTGGAGCTTGCAATGGAATCCTTTCTCTCAGGGCTGTTCATCTTTCTCACTGCTGAATATTCTCCCTTTTAAAAAAGCTATTCAATGGTGAAATCTTAAGTCAAATGAATGTAAAGCTATAGTATTCATTAAAAGAGAGTTCAGTTCAGAGGATGCCTTCTAATCTTCCTGTTATAGAAAACACCTCCATATTGTAAAAATACAGCTCAGTTCATCTTTCGTTCCCTAAAAACTGAATTGCTTGAAACTACATCGAAGAAGATTTTGTTTGAAATTGGGGAGATTTTCCCCTCTACTGAATGGAGAAATACTTCCTAAATAAAAGTGGATATGCAACTGTTTCAGCTCAGCTTTGAAGAGTTACACTTCAAAAGAATTATATGCTGAAGCAAAGCAGAGCTGAATATGGTGAAGTGATTCACAAGCTCCTCTATTCTTTTCTCTTCTAGAAAAGTAAAAGGCTGAACTCAAGTCAGAGACGCGTGTGTGGGAGGAAGTCCTGGTAAATCTCACATTATCAATCCTACCACATTTGACAGGCTTCCTAAAGCAAAAATCCCTTGGGGTTCCAGGTCTAGTTGTTTGTAAAGCAAGAGCATTAGTTGTTGATATTTGCCCTACACTAAAAAACCAAATTTTATATGTACATATTTTTTTAAAAAAATATTATATTTATCTCAGAAGAAAAATACGAATGCTGGCATTAAGGATTTAGCAGGGGATAAAAAAACCACACTGAAGTACTTCAAGTACCTATACCGGTAGCATTAACCCTTTAAAGTAATGGACAAATAATTATTAATTCCTTTGCTATTTTTGGTAATAGCTCAAATCATAAAGAGATCTTTTGACATTACTGTGGATGTCATATGTACCTTTACAAGATCCCCACTGTAACTTTGTATTAATTAACTGGACCATTATTTTAAAGTGTTCTACAATCATAGCACTATGCAGCATCTACACTGAGGAGCAGCTTTGCTGGTCAACACTCTAATAAGCTGGTCCATTATCTCTTGATTTTACTTCTGCCTTTGCCTTATATGATTCTGATGGAGCAAATTACAGCATAAACAGAAAGAAAAAATGTACATCTGAGAACAAAAGGGCTAGCACTCTGACTCTGAGATGTGAAGCCATTTTTATAAATCAGGCAATAATTCCTTTTTGGCAAGGATAAATAATTTAGCCTCTTTATTTCACCAGTATGTTTCCAAAGCATATCGGAAAATGTTTACAGTTGACCCAGAGTCTACATACTTCTCAAGACTTGCTAGATATTCCTGAAGTTTACCATCCATGAAATATTGAGTATAGCACAATTTTGCGTTTTAGAAGGCTTTGTGAACTATGCAGGGTCACCATGAAAAGATGCAGCTTCTTCATAACTACTAAGTCTAGGCAGCTGGATTAAATGTTGGCTTCACTGAAGACAAAAACCCTATTGACTATAGTGCAATCACATTTCACTTTTGAAAAGAAATCTAACAATCAAAACTCAGGTTAAACTGAAGAATGCTACACGTTGTTCTCTTTTTCTTCCTCTTCTCACCTCCCTGGGTAAGGCAAATCTGTCAATGATATTCCACATATAAAAGATGAAAGAAGTTTTGAATCTAAAGTGCTACAAGTACTTTACTCTTAAGGTACAATCTAGGGGTCAAATCTTAGGCAAACACAATTTTATCTACATCAATTTCACTGACTACAAACACAAGTCATCTCTCACAAGCATGAGGATTTGCAGGAACAAGTATTGGATTAGCTCACCGAATCATTTTACAAATCAGTTTTTACTATAACTGATATTTCTCATATAATTTCCACAGTCTTTTCACCATTTAAACAAAATACAGTCTTTCTTTTATGCAAATGGATTTTAGAAGAGCAGATCTCAAACTATATCGCAAGACCATAATGGATATACTCTGAAGAATATATGATTCTTAATTAAGACCACTAGAATAATAAAGGCTAAAAAGGGAGTATCTGATGCCATATGTCATTTCACAAGCTTCTCCATATCTTGCTCTCAGCTAAATGGTCAACATTGCTTATATTACACTATCTTCATATATGACATACATCTCAGAGAAGGAGGGTTCTGCTGTAAAGAGGCACACCTCTGTCCCATCAACCATTTTGTTCTTGGTTTGAAAATATTTACACATTACAAATAAATTCAACATAGAATCTTCCAAATGTGTTTTTTCTACACCCTGGTAGATAAATGACATTTCTGAAGCAAATTTCAACATAGAACTAGGTGTATCATTTCCTATTTGTTATGAAATGAATTTTGTTTCTCAGAATAATGCAAACTGGCCTTAAATTTAACCAAAAATAATGGAGCCCAGAAATTCAGTATCCATGTTCGCATACCATTATCATTTCACATCTAGATGGCCCCTTACCTCAAAGCTTGACACTCTAGTTGAGCCATCTTTATGACGTGGTAGCCTCTTCAGAGTACCATTTAATCCTTTTTTGCCACCTTTGGCCTCAAGGGTAGCATATTAATCCCCCTTAACTTTTGCTAATTGGTGGCAAGCAGCTGGATTCCATTTATTTCAGGAGAACATAGTAAAATCTATGCTGCCCAAACCCCACTCAGCCTACACACTCATTCAACATCATCAACAGCTAATAAGCCTCCTCAGCCCATGGAAATAAACAGTAACTTCATGTAGTTGTGTAGTATCAGAAGAAAGGAGAAGGGGGATTAAGGAATGGTCCCACAGATCTACTAAGGCAATGCCAATTTATGATACGCAAATCTTTGTGATTCTGAGATTTTCACCTGAAACAAAAGCCAAGTTCGGTAATTTTAAAAAGCACTGTGCACATCTAGTAGACTGAAACTCACCAAATTTTAACTCATTAAGTTAAAAGCAGGGAAGAGTTTCCATCTTTTTGCAATAAAAAAAGGAGCTACATTAGAATTTCTGACTATGAGAATACACTGGTAAAATACTGAAGTGAAAAAATTTAGGATAAGTTCCTTCAGCCAGTCTTTCTCATATTTCAGTCTACTCAACTACGATATTTTTCAGCCTCCAACACAGTTTTAAATTACCAACACAGAGAGAAATTATGACGTAGCCACTAGGGAGCCCAAAAGATACGCTGAAAATGAACAAAACAAAATCACTGAACAATGAAAACTTTACTGATTAAGTAGTTTATCAGTGAAAAGCTTCAGAGCTTATTCTATTTCACTTTTTTAATTATTATTTTTTTGTGGAACTTGGAAAAAAAGAAAGAAAGCAGAGAATGGGAAAATGTGTTACTAGTTATATGATCTTTCTGAAACTCCCCAAAAAGTGGTGGAGAAGAAAGAAGAAAAATGAGAGAAAATTTGCATATCCCTTCTTAACCATTGTGCAAAAGTGAGCATGCTATGGTGAAAAAAAAAAAGTCCCTGGCTTCACTAATGTCCTTCTGTGTGCCAAATGCTCATGAGAGAGCATATAAGAATATGTGTATATATATATTTATTTGATTAGTTAAACCACTTGTTAAACTGTTTGCATTTTTTTTTACAATGCAAGGTAACAGGATCAGGTCCTGACATAAACTATTACATGTAAAAATGCCCATTTCTTTGAAAATTATTCAAACTTCAGTCACTCAGCCACATACACGACCATCCTGTCTTTCTCCCTCCCTGTCCTTTACTCCTCTCCTTTTTCCTTCCTCTTTGCCATCCTCTAAATCTTTGCCACATATGCTGGTGGGATTTTAGAAACAGGGTTTGAGGGTTTCTAAGGGGCTACAAGACAAAATCTTCCAGTATGAATCCCATACAAAGAACCATAAAATATCAAGTACATTATTTCACAGCAAATGATATCTCATTTCTTTCTGAAAGTGATGTAAGACCTTAGAGAATATTGCATATATGTAGATTTACAATCAGAAATTTTGGGGGAATGGTTTAAAGTGCTTTGTAGTGTAGTCGCACAAGTAGCGTGCGTTTTACCACAGCTAAGAGTTGGGAAAAACTCATCACTGTGAGAAATAACTGACGCGTATCGATATGATAAGCCAATGAAGAAAAACATTTCTGTTGCTTTAAATGCAGTGATTTCTGCATAGCACCCTCTGTTGCGATTTAAACTGCTACATGCATGATAATAAAATCAAGGTGAATTCCAAGGCCATACGATAGTGTGCAATACCATTAGAAATGTTAAATTTGTACAAAAGTTTTACACATGGATATTTAACAATGGAAAACATTTCTAAACAAAAGAAAGTATATTATTTAACTTCCACAGCCATGGAAATTTACACCCTGAAGATGACTATGTAGAAGACAAATCTAATGATTATTACATATCAGTGTAAAAGAAATTAATGCCTTATTGGAGGGTGAAATGAACATTCCAGACTGACATTCTCCAAGAATGCCTATTCCTCACTTCAGCTGCCCTGGAAAACATTAAACAATGAGATGCAGTACACAAGAACTATCAAAAGGGAGCACTTTTGAGCCACTGAAACCGTACAACAGGCTGAAAACCACAATCTCCCAGCTGCGGACAATGATACTATCTCAGGTATTTTATGTGCTAAAATGATCATTAAAAATTAAGCACCACATATAAGCTGCCATTTAGAATATTAATTTACCTTTACTAATCATCTTTTTAACTTGAGGCTAAAAGAGTTCACTTACCATTCGGATACTCGGGCTTAGTCCACGAGATGTTAAAGGAGTCAGATGAATATGACTGGGCTTTTGGAGCAGGAACACCTTCTGGTGTACTCTCATCTGTTACAGCTGTGCTAGCTTCGCTTACTGAACATCCACCTCCAGTGCAAGCCTTAAAATATGAAGCAACACACATAAACATATTTCAATGTAATACTGATAATTTTAGCAACAACGGTTTTGCAAAGTTTTATAATTTTTATACACCTAAACTTGGGAAGAGTGTGCTTTTTACAAAAGCTACTTGTCTTAGCATAGAATAGTTTTCCTCTTTTCATAAATAACCAGATGCACTACTCATGATACTTAGTGTTTAGGGATAATATAGCTAAAACATTACACTAATGTTTGACTTGCAGCATTTTGCATTTGACTGTGAGTCATAATCACAATTAGATTTCCACTGCTCTTGCAGCCACAGTTAAGAAAATTACAGTACAATATATACATTCATTTACAGTGTAAAACTCTTCTGGAATTTACTGAAAAGCTCACACAAGTCCCAGACACAGAATTCATGGACCAGCTTGCAATGGACTTAAAAAACTATCTCGATGAATAGTTATTGAGAAAAAAATGCCATTCAGGCAGTCCTGCACTTCGTGACAGCACGCCAGGTGGTGTGCAGATGCAATAAAAATAATGAAAACCCACTCTGTTATAAATCGATATGCAACAGTTACTATTACATGTTTATGGATAACAAAGGCAAATCATTTGTATTTCACTTCCCAGAGAAGAAAAGATTGATTACATGATTTTTACATTTTGCTTGATTATGAAACAATACAACGTGCAGAAAACGTGCACATCTCTCCACATAAGAGGCTTTTAAAGTTTTACACACAGAAATGGAAGACTACACAGCTATGGTCCTTATGTGTACTTGCACTAAGATCCATAACAAGAGGCAGGAGTTCTTAGAGAAGTTAAAATACAGAACTATATAAACTCTGTATTGGATTTAAAGATTTTTAGTTTGGTTTATTGTTTTGGTTTGGTTTCTTGTTTCAACAAAGATTCAGATTCAGTTATAATCTTAATTAGAATTTACAGGATCACCTAGTTTTATTTCTACGGGTTCCCCTTATGCTGAGGCAGACAAGTAGCCCATTCTGGATCACCAGCACACAAAGGGAAAAAAACCTTGCTGTCCAGATCTCCAGGAATAAAATGTTTCTCTCAATCTAGTGTATTTTATCTGAAGTATATTTTCAAGTCTCTCATTTCCCAATGTGTTTCAAATAAGAAAGCAGTTAGCACATTTCCTATCCTTCTCCAAAAGTGTATACTAGCCCCATGGGTTAAAATAAGAACTATATGTAAATGAGAGACTCTTTTATACATCAAGATCATTTTGATTTCACTGGAAATTACACTCCCAAAACAACTACAGAATGACTCCCTGTGTTCAGCCTGGGCTATCAAATAAAGATGAAAGAATGCAACATCAGGTTTGAGAACATTCAAAAATGGCATTTATGTTAAACATTATAGTGTTCAGGAAAAAAAAAAAAGTCAGCTTAGACAGATGCTCAGATAATTGTTAGCATTTTGATAAGCAAAATTTTTAAGAAAATCATCTTTCCAGCAAAGGTAGATTATTCTTCAAATTATTTCACTCCCACTGACTTCATGAAGAAGCCAAAATCACCAGCTAGAAGACCAGTTCCTCAAACATTCCTTACCACCTGGCTAAACAAGTACCACTGACCCTTTTTCAGCAGTGAAGGACTTTTACATTCAAGGCCTCAGTAACAGCAGCCTTCCCATTCATTTATTTTTTTAATTTCATGACATTCAATTTTTGTATTTTGCTGGAGTATAAAGTTTTTGATTTTTCTAATGAAAAAATCAGTAAAAAAATCTCATCTACATTTCAAATAGTGGGATTTTAGATCAGAGTATCCAAATGGACATTGCTGGGACTCTGGCAATCACTTCCAGGGATGCTCAGAGTCATGAAATCCTACGCCTAGATCAAGCTCCATTATGCCACTCCGTATTTCACTGAGGAACATATTAGTGGCAAAATTTGAAAAAATACCAAACCATCTAAGGGAGGACAGATAGAAACCGCATAACAAGACACCACGCAGCGATCCTCCAGCTAGCACCTGAGCTAACTTACCCATGCAACACAGCCACAAGGAGATATTAGCTTAACACTTCAGTCATGAAAGCACTCAAAGTTAAATGAATGGGTGTGCCACTCTGGCTTCTAAAGGCAGCCTTTGAGATTTCATTGGCCCGGCTCACACTCATCCAGCTTAGAGCACGAACAGAGCAAAAGGATTTTGAAAATTGGTAACAGCATACAAGGATAAATATTTTGTTAACTTTATTTAATGTACTTATATTAACCTGCCATACAAAAGTTAAAGCCAGCAGCCTGTAAGGTGATGAAAATTCTGTTGGTGAGAATCACAGAATGTTAGGGGCTGGAAGGGACCTTAAAAGATCATCTAGTCCAGACCCAATCCTGGTCGCAATCCTAGTGCCTGTGTTCAAAGCTGCAACTTTTGATAACTTCAAATTTCTGACATAAACAAGAACGTGTTTCTGCATAGATACAAAACAAAATAAATATTACCCGTGAAACAAGGGAAATAAAAATGTTTTGACAGAAATATTTTATTCTAACAAAAAAAAAAGAGAAGCTTTTACTTGTTTCCAGTTTTGAAGGCATTCTATAGTTGGTTTTACTCTAAAAGTTTTATAGAAATTCAGATTAAATTATATGTGAAACACTACACAATTCCATTTCTTTCCAGCTGTGTGTGTTTAAGTTGGGTTCCTTTCATGGTTTTGAATTTTGTTTGGGTCTTCTTTTTTAGTTTTTCTTTCAAGTATAACATTCGACAACATAGAAGCTTCATAACTTGTAAATCTCTAATATTACACTCTTGTCAAACTAGTCTGACAAGTACTACATAAAATGGATGAAGCTGTTTCAAGAAAGCTACCACACCTCAAAGATATTGGACATTTCATGTCCTTTTAGTCTTGCCATTTTCAGAGTTGCAGGGGCATTTAGATCTCCCAACCTGCCTACCACAGACCATTAAATTTAATCCAAGTAAATCTGGTTATCTTCATTACCAAAAGAAGTTGCTCTCCGGATCCCAGCTATTAACTCTCCCTGATCCTCTCTCCTGGTGTCCTCATGCACAGGAGCTTGGCAGGAGCACAGAAGAGCTGTGGCACAGTGAAGGACAGCACAAATTTTTTTGCTAGTCCCACTTGCTTATAAAGACATAAATACATGTTGAAATTCTGCCTTAATTTTGGACATGGTGCTATTTTACATGCTGTACAATTTACTATGCTGAAATATCTAGGCACAAACGAATTAATTTCAGCATGAATCTAAGCTTTAATTAGACTGAATATCCTTGCTTTCTCAAGTACACGTCAGATCCTTATCATTACTTGAGGGTAGTTTATTTTTTGTGGTATAATATTTAGAACATTCAAGAGCATGTTAAGAAAAAATGAATGCATACCTAGTCTACATAAATGTAAATTTATTCATAATCAGGAGCAGAATATTTTTCTATGGCATTTATCAAAGCAAATATCCTTATATAGGTATTGTTTCAAAATGAACAGTGTGCCCAAAACAAGGGCGGATCCCATCCTTTTATGCACATATTTTCAGGTTTGTTAGTGAGCTGAAGCAGTTCTAATTCATCACAAAATAAAACCAATGATAAAGAAATTAAAAATTATTTTAAATATTTTGAATAAACAAACTCCTACTTTACACTGAACTATTTTTTCTTTCTGCTATTCCATTCTACAAACAGATTTTATAAAGAAAGAGAAAATTATCAAGGCACAAAATACGAAAAGCAACATTTTCAAATGCAGTCAACTGTTTCTTGTGAGTTTGGGGCAGGAGACTTTTCTTTAGACTTTCATATATTTCTGTTCAATTATCTCTTAGTTATCATCCAACTTATCCTCAAAGAAAATCTGTATTTATGTACACATTTTCTGAGGGCCCATTTTGAAACAAAACACCCACTGTTGTTCAAGATGGCTCATCCATCTTGGTTACAGAAAGAAGAGGTTAAACGAAGTGGACACACGAACTATTAAGTATTTAAGATATTAACAAAATCAGACACATTTTCACCCTTTTTACACTTCTATTACATATCTTTAAAACTTACAGCTAGTTTTATGAGGTATTCAGTACCCGGGAAAAGCTGCTGAATAGTAAAATCCAGAAAAAGTTCTGTGCTGTTATAGATTACATTCCACTTTGTAAAATTCTGCTCATTGTTGGCAATATAAATTACATAGCGTTCTAGGATTCCATTTAGTTCTACTGGTTCTTTCCATCTGCAAATAAAAGCAAAACATTATTAAGACCAGACAGGTTCGGACCATACTGAAAAACGTAAGGCTTTGTTCAGGGGACTCTGTGAGGTTTACTTTAACAATTTGAAAACATAATTGTGCAACCATCAAAATAAATTTAAGGCACACCTCTAAAGCAATATTCGTACTCAATACAAAAATGCTTACAAGAACACACAAAGCAGGAGCTACAAAAGGGGAATATCACCAGAAGATTTCCTGCACTGAAGTTTGCAGAGGCTATGCCCATATGTAGGTTATACTGATTGCGTAAAGACAAAATGGAAATTAAGTTGGCAAGTGATAATCAGAAGGTTCACAGAACCACTAAACTAATCACTTCTATGCATTTAATCATAATAAATTTAATTTTATGTCACAAACCCTTCCCCTGATTGAACTCACTGGAATTCTTGAATAAACCGATGCACTATTGTGTTGTCAGGAAAGAAGAAATCCTTACTTACTGTACATATATCGTTCTAGAATCCAAAACCGTGAGGACTGGGGCATCTACGTGAGATGGTGGCAGCTGTGCTGAAAACAAGGTGACCTGGGAACTGTTTGTACAGCCAGCAAGCGTGCATGCAGTGAGCAGAAACTGGTGTGGCGTAAAAACTGCTAAATCTAGGGGAAAAAAAGGACTGTGAATTTACTTTGTATATTAATTTTACCTTGGTTTTCTGCAACTTTCAGAGGGTAGTACATTCAGAAAATCAACAGGAAAGGGGACTTGTATCTCTTAAATGCTTCAGATTTGCCTCAGAGGAGTGAATAGGTGCTGATTGTTTAATAGCAAATAACTGCACATTTTGACTACCAGTAATAGGTCTATGGGGAGCGCTTTGGTTGAGATGACTCCATGTACAGTACAGGTATATTAGGACGTACACCACCCAAACAACACAAAGATGTTAGTCTCTTAGGTGTTACATACTATATCAATTTGCTACAGTGGCAAATGAACACCTTTAAGATGATTAAATAGAACAAAACTAATGGGAAAAAAGTACAGGTTCATTAAGACAGCCAGACCATTTTTTTTTTTTTTTAAACCCACGATGTATGATACATGAATTTCAAGCATCAAGACAAGCAATGATTCACTGTTGAATGCAAGGGAAGCTCATTGTTGCCACCACTCATACTGGTTGGTTCTCTCGTCGCATGTTTGTCGTCAGCTGCATGGGTGACAAACATTTGTAAAATATCTTTCAGTAAAGACAATCTGTCTAATGCTATAGCAAAACAACCGTTAAACCGATATTTATTATGAAGTTGTCCTGAATTTCAATTACTGCAGAAAATGATGAATAAAGTGTTGTATCTTTGCAGAATAAATATTCTAAAAAGATCTTTAGCTTTATATATTCTTCCTTAAAATAAGAAAGGATATTTGTCAGAAAAATCACAGTAGGAAAGTAATACAACATAATTTTCTAATATTTTTCATTTTTTATGAAAATATAAATCAGATTTTAATTATCAAATCCTTTAATAAGGAATTTACAATTGAGGATTTGGCAACAGTATAAGTTATACAAGTATATTGCATATGTTATAGATGCACATTTTTAGTATGCAAGAGAAGTTCTGCGTTCTTGCAAGACATAAAAAATGCTAGTGTTTTCAGAGCCAAACAGTATCAAACTACCACTTTATACAAAAATATTTGTAAGCATAAATTAAAAACTTGCAGCTGAGTAACGAAGACATCCCTAAAGCACAAACATTGTAGACCCAACTTCTTTCTCATCAGTTTCCCCCTCATACAATGTCTCCACTCCCTGCTGGAATGGAATTCCTTCTGATTTACACCACTCTTTGCAACGAGAGAACGTACTCATGCATTTTCATTGAAAACGCAGCATCACTCCATGGCATTGTTCCATGTAGCGCACGGCAAAGTGTGAGTTAAAAAATAAAAGCTGTACTAAAAAAAAAAATAATAAAAAAATCATCAAGCGAATGCCTGTAACACAGTGACATGTTTAATCAACATAATGGTGTATTACTGTTTTCCTCATACACAGATTGGGAGTTGAGGAGGGCTGTTTTTCTCTCCTTTAAGGAAAATTCCTCATCAAGGGAGGAATCACTGGGTTTTGTGGTGTTTGGTTGGTTGGTTTTTTTTAAGTAGCTTGTGCTGAAACCCTGATTTGATGCACACTGTAGCTGATAAACTCTTTGGATCCAGAAGATTTTCTGGAAATACCAAGTTATATTTTAAGAGGGAGGAACTTTATCAAGGATGATAAAATGGTTTTTTCCCTCCCCGAAAAAAACAAGTAACTATAAGTCACTATACATGTCTCGATGGTCGGAATAGAAAAAGTAAAAAGACAAGACAAGGAAACATTGCAAAGTTTAAAAGAACGGGAATAACAAGGAATAGAAATGCAGGACATACGAGCAGCAAGAACCCTTAGGATCAGCTGATAAGCATACTGAGAGGGGAAGGAAGGAGAGGCTAAAAAAGAAAAAAAAAGCATAGCAAGATAAAATATGGAAAAAAAGCAACACATCACCAGGATCAAAGGAAATCTTTCTTCCTCATCTTGACTTAATAATGCCAATGTATTTTGACTGATAAATGCCAAGCAGAAAGTTTCAACAGAATCTGAAAGATTTAAGTGGGATAAAGGCTAAAAGGAAAAATTACGTTAGTGGGAGCAGGAGAAAAAAGTACAGAAATTAGAGACTCAAAGCATGAGTTTTGCGTTCAATGAAAACATCTCCATAGACATCATCAAGGTTTGAATGAGCTCTCAAATATACTGTAGGTAGTATTTCTAAAAGGTTAGAATCCAAAACCGACAAACTGAACAATAAAAATCATGCTACATCATAACTGTTGCAAATATTTTTCACAATGTGATTTGGCAGATATTTTCCTATTTAAAGTTCAGAGTGCTTCTTAACGTATCAATGGATTCAAACAACTACAGATGCAAACATGTATCTGAATGAGGAGGGAGGAGGTTCTTAAAACTACAAAGCCCCTGTTTGTCAAGGTCCTCTAGCAACAATGCCTTCCTTTCCATTTGCTTGATTGCATGATTTGCATAAGATCAAATGTAGGCAATTGTGGACATGAAAAACAGATCACTCTCAAATGCATTAGAAATGGATCCACAAGCATTATCCCGAAATGTTACAAGAAAATGCACCCTAGCGCATGCAAAACTCAGTGATTAATGTCAAACAAACTGTAATTTACAATATAGGGCATGAATTATATGTTATTTTACAATTGATTTCATGCTGTTGCTGGAAGAAATTCATTGATCTCAGATTACAAAATGAACCCAATAAGCAGACAATTATTTTCTTTTTAACTCACAGCAAAACCCGGGGGTTTTTCTTACATATTTGCTTCATCAGCTTATATTCCTGTTTGTGCCACAATTCCAGTCCCTTGTGTAACTTTAAAATTGTATCAAATGCTTCTTACTGCAATTTAACAATATTTACTTTCTTAAATCACTTATTTCTTACCAAAAGAAAGCTAAGCTTAAAAATTAGAGAGGCTTAATATGAAAAAATCTAAAGTCAGGATGTGGTCTTGTAGTTGTTTCTGGACGCAGAAGGGCAAAAAGCACCAAAAGGCAAAGAAAAAAAAAGATACTTTATTGGGGGTACAGGATTCCCTCAAATCATCCTATTAGGGTAGCAGGTAGCTAGAAAAATAATTGTGCATTTTTTACAACAAAAAAGGAACAAAAGAAGAAAAATTAAATAAAGCCCCACATCTCTGTTTTAAAACCATTACTTACTCACCCAAAGCAAAAGGCAGGGGGGAGGGAAGGGATCAACCTGCCTTTTCATTTCTTTGACCTGAGAGACAATCCAAACAAACTAAATTCTTCTCTAACTCGTAAGTCAGCAAGCAAATTGCTAACTATAGTGGCTATCCATAACATCAGCATTTGCATACGACTATATTTATTATATATGTGGCATATGTGGAACTTCCCACACTAACCAAGGCAACTATCTTCAATATCATGGTAAATTTAACTATAGTGGTTGGCATATATCCAGTTTCTAATAACCACCAGCACAACTCCTGATAGCACAATCAATGCATGAGACAGAAAGAATAAAGGATGACCCTGTTTGCATGGTCAATAAGAATACTCACTCTGCTTTGATCAAAGTTAATGGGTAGTCATTGAAAGATAATATGCAACACTACAGTGCTACTTTTAGCATGGAATTTGAGAGATGTTACTAAGATAGACACGGAATACATAGATAGCAGAGAGGGAAAGAAAAAACCCAACTAAAAACCAAACAAACCCAAATGTGTACTTAGAGATTTAGGAACTTTACTCAAAAAAATGAGCTTTACCATCAAGATGTCAGGGTACACCACAGTTCAAAAATAACACAGTAGTAATGTCTACAATGTTTTATTTTATCTGTAGCATGCAACATTCTGTATTCAGGTTTATAGCAAGAGAGTCACATACACTTCTTTCCTCCCCTCTTCCACCCTATTTTCCACTCTCCCTGGTTTCAGGCAGCTATTGTAAAGACCAGAAATGGCAACATCCTGTCTTGGTGAGAGCTTGGTTGAAACGTGACTTGCGTAAGGAACCCCACATACTTTCTCTCAGGAAAATAATTGAGACAATAGCTATCCCATTGCTATATTGAAAGGAAAATAATGCAGCAGCCCTGTAGCAAGGGATTGTTAGCAGCACAACAAAGAAAACCTGCTGAGAGAGTATGAAAATGAAAAACTTCCAAAGAATTCCAATCACCATGGTGTTTGTGTAGATAGACCGTACGACCACTTCAGCTCATTGCTCACACCCTTATTCTGTTCTCTCATCTTCTTTCTCATAGTTTGTTAAATTAACTCAGAGTAACTTAATGTTTAATTAGAAGGCAAACTCTCCGGGACCACAAATCTGAATCACCAAACATATTGATGCCCCATCTTATTTTTATGTACAAACAAAACAAACAAACAAACAAAAATCCAAATCAAAGTGATTGCCAAGATGGTATTATCAGGTGTGCTCCATCAGACATCATTAGCAGTTCCTTCCCTTTCACCACTATCTGAAAACATAACTCATATATAACTTCTAGTACAGTGTAACCTGCTTTTGGTATTTATAAGGTACCAATCATTTATATTGACCCTCAAAGAACTGTGACTAAAGTACAATCTTCTCTGGGAAGGTATTATACCAGTGCTGCATCTTTTTCATAGACTTTCTGTGAAGCCTATGCCATCCTCATCACCTCCTTGAAAATATTTCAGAAAAAACAGCATCGCAAATGACACCACACGTCTACTTCACGCAATCCAATCAAGCCCAAGAAATCAGTGTGCTCATGCACCTAATTGTATAAACTAGCAATGAATGGCCTTTCACATGTGGAACTGGAAGAAAACAGCTATCTTCCAAGATAGCAGCAAATTCTCTCATTATTTAATTAATTAATTCAGAATTAAGAAGATTCCAGAGTCAGAACTAAAAAAAAACACAAATGTGAAGCCACTCTAAACAAGGGCAAGCAATAGAGAGAGACAAATAAACTTAGAGTCACAAATAATTATTTTCAGGAAGCTCCATGAGCAGCTATTCTGCTCTCTAACCAGTGAAGCC